GCTGAGACTGGAATTTGTTTTGTTTCCTTCATCCTTTAACAGCTGCCCCACGGGAAACTGAAGTTGGACAACAGACGACCTTTCCTGAAATAAGCTACTAGCTGGGAATCTGCTCTGTGCCAAAAAGTAACAGGAATAACTGAAGTCTATTTATAACTGTAGAAAGTGTCAGGATGGACCTGTGCTTTGGAGGAGGCTGAAGACCACTGGAAGGGAATGTTGTCCTTGCTGGGGTGACCCCAGGGAGCACGTCTGGCATCCTTCTCTTGCTCTCTCTGTTCTCTGCACACTGACAGTGAGGTTGACCCTGCTGGCACCTCTCTCTGTTGCAGATTGGAGGTGTTCAGTCCTTGGGCGGGACGGGTGCTCTGCGTATCGGCGCAGAGTTTCTCAGGCGGTGGTACAATGGAAACAACAACACAGCGACCCCGGTCTACATCTCCACTCCGTCCTGGGGTGAGTGCTGTTGGTAGTGCTGCTGCCTCCTTGCAGGGAGCCCTGTGGGTCGGTTGGTGACGGGACCATGGCTGAGTTCCTTGCAGGCAGTGAGAGAGGTCTGCTTGTGGGTAAAATGAGATGCTGGGGCTGGATGAGGTGGCTTGCTGGAGGTGGGGCCTGCTTTTCTGAGAAGTGGTTTCTTTCCTCAGAGAACCACAACTCTGTGTTTGTGGATGCTGGCTTTAAAGACATTAGAACCTACCACTACTGGGATGCTGCCAAGAGGGGTCTGGATCTCCAGGGGCTGTTGGATGATATGGAGGTGGGTAAAACTGGTGTGGGATGGGCTGAGCTTGGTCCTGTGCTGTCAGGAGCTGGCTGGGCTCTTGCATGCTGTGCCTGGAAGTGGATCTCTGCAGAGACTGTCAGTGGCCAGAGCAGCTCAGGGCATCTCCCTTTGCTGTGGGTGCCCAGTCTCATCTCTGTGTATGACCAAGATCTACTTCACTCTCTCCTCAGAAAGCCCCAGAGTTCTCCATTTTCATTCTCCATGCCTGTGCGCACAATCCAACGGGCACAGACCCTACTCCTGACCAGTGGAAGCAGATTGCTGCTGTTATGAAGGTATGGGCTGCTGCTGGGGCTAAAGTAGTGCTGGGGGGGACAGATAGCTCTTGAGCCAGCCAGACCGCTTGCATCCAAAATGAGCTGTACAGAATGGCATGAGTTGTGGCAGGAGCTGGAAGAGTCCTGCAGGTCAGGTGTTGAAGGAAAAGGCTAATAGGATGCTGGTTGCCTGTGTTCAGAGAAGTATCCCAGTTCTGCTTATGCTTCCAAGTTCTTACTTTCAACTCTGTGGTATGAGCTGCAGTGAGGGTTCTCATGCTGGAAAGATTACCCATGGGCACCTGCTTTTCACAGGTGCTGGATAATAGGATATAAGGTGGTGCATCTCTTGTGCCTGTGTCCTCAAATGCATTTTTTTCCTGCATTTTGTCTTTTAGTCTTCCTATTCTTTTACCCCAGTAGAAAGAAAATATCACAGTCTGGTGTTGCTGGACCATTTTTCTTTTGTATTCATCCAGAAGCTCAATGGTCATTTTTTCCCTCCTATGGGGACAGTAGGGGGTAGCGTGAAGATTGTGGGGAAGAGGTTTCCCTCTAACACTGTTCCTCCTTGCAGCGCCGGTTCCTGTTTCCATTCTTCGACTCTGCGTACCAAGGGTTCGCCTCTGGCAGCCTGGACAAGGATGCCTGGGCTGTGCGATACTTTGTCTCCGAGGGCTTTGAGCTCTTCTGTGCACAGTCGTTTTCCAAGAACTTTGGGCTCTACAGTGAGTGTCTGGCAGTAAGCTGGCCCAGTAGCATCATACCCAGACAGATGGGGCTGGCATGCTGGGGGTGGGCAGAGCTCTGCTTTGTCATGACGTGTGGGACCAGTGGCTCACATCTCTTGTCTTGTCCACAGATGAACGTGTGGGGAACCTGACTGTGGTGGGGAAGGACACAGACAATGTGCAGCGTGTGCTTTCACAGATGGAGAAGATTGTGCGCACCACTTGGTCCAACCCTCCCTCCCAGGGAGCACGCATTGTGGCAACTACGCTTTCTTCCCCACAGCTCTTTGCTGAGTGGTAAGTGTTGCTAGGGACAGTGGGAGAGGGAAAGCAGGGGAAGCTGTCTCCCCGAGTGCCAGGCTTGGTCAAATGGCTCCCAACTGGATAGGTGCCTGTCCTCACTCTCTGCTTCCTGCCTGCTGCAGGAAGGACAATGTGAAGACGATGGCAGATCGTGTCTTGCTGATGCGCTCAGAGCTCCGGTCTCGACTGGAGGCCCTTGGGACCCCAGGCACCTGGAACCACATCACAGAGCAGATTGGCATGTTTAGCTTCACAGGGTTGAACCGTAAGTACCAAGTGGCCTCGTGAAGGGAGGACTGGGTGAGGACAGTTTTGGTGGTGGTGAATTGGGCTGAAGCAGTCCAGGCAGGAATCTCTCAGGGACCACACTGGAGTCCTGGCATCACTGCCTCTCTGGGTAGGCAGGGATGAAGCATCAGACAGCATTTTGGTGGCCAGTGCTCCAAGTTTTCTGCTTGTTATGAAAGATCCAAGCAGCCCTGACTGGTTCTTTGGGCTTTTCTGAGCTGTGGGATCACTGCTCTGACCTGATGTCCAATTGTTTCCCCAGCTAAGCAGGTGGAGTACATGATCAAGGAAAAACACATCTACCTGATGGCCAGTGGACGCATCAACATGTGTGGCCTGACTACGAAGAACCTGGACTACGTGGCCAAGTCCATCCATGAAGCTGTCACAAAAATCCAATGAAGCACATGAACAAACAAACTTACATGAAGTCACCAAAGCTGTAGTGCGTAGTCTGTGTCTTTTGCTGCTCATGGCTTGCCTTGACCCGCAGCTCTTGGGGTTTAATAAAGATGGGACGGGCAGCTCAATCAGGGATAATCATCTCTTCACCTTTTTGAAGTGCCCCTTATAATATGGTAAGCCAGTGCCCCCAGGAGGGTGGTGGCAGCATTAGCTGCCTTGGCTCTTGTTTGACTGACAGCAGCCTGGCCTTCAGGCACTTAGAGCTGCATCTTTAGCACATCTAAATCAACTCCGTGTAACTGATCAGTTTGATCTAGGTGAAGTCTGGTGCCAGTGCAATGTGCTGTGGGATAACAGCTCAGTTGGCTGGGATCTCATATGGCTTGTGAACTAATGTCACTCTGTAGTATTTTGGGGAGGAGTGAAGCTGTTGCTGTTGTGTGTCCCCCCCCTTGGAGTTCTGAGCCTTATGCGAGCAAACATTCGTAATCGTGATTATTGCTTCTTTGTGTTGCTGACAGAAAATTAAATCTCCTCTGAACACTACCCCTACCTTGTGTAACGTGCCTTCAGGCTGATCTAATGTCTTCCCAGGCTGTGGTTAAAGCCTCAGCAGCCTGGTTTGTCCACTGGTTCTTACTCAGTTGGTTTCAAGGCTCTCCCTTTCTCCCTCATGGTGTGTTGCATCTCTGATGGTTATGGTTGCTACTAATGAGGCACAGTCCTATTGGGAAAGTGTATCTGGGAGCTCCCTGTGAGTACACAAATCTGACCGGGTCCTCCCATATCCCCCTTGTGTTCCTCTTTCTGCTCCCCTGCCCTGTGCTCTTCAGCTTGTTCTGGCTGTGCTTGCTTTCTGGATGGTCATGTGTTGCCCAACCATCTGGCCATCCCTCCCTGGCACAGAGCTCCTGGCTTGCTTCTGATGTGCTGAAAAGTGGATCTTTTCCTCCTTATCAGCAGGCCCCTGATGAACCACCACCTACTCCTCCTGGCTTCAGCGGAACCTGCCAGCACCAGCCTGTTTCTGGCACAGAAAAAGAGCTGGGACCATCTGTTTCTGCTCTCTGCAGTCACTCTTTGCAGATCTATTTGTGAGCTGATATTACCACCTTGACAGAGCAGCCTCCTGCCAAGATCTTGGTGAAGAAAGGGAAACAGCCCCTTTCCTGGGGTCAGTTAGTAAGTCACTGATGCCCTGATGGATTTTGCTTGTGCTGCAGCTTAGACAGTAAAGGCAAAACTGGTGCCTTGTTCCCTTGCTGTTCTTGCAGAGAGACAGCACATGGGTTCTCTAATTTGTCATTTTTAGGTTGGTGTTCATGTCACATAAGAGAGTGAGCCAGAGGCAGCCTGGCCTCTGTGCAGGTGGGGAGCTTTTTCTGTTCTTGATGTCCATCCACAGCTAGGATGATGGGGTCCTTGTTAAAGGATGACTTCTAGGGGTGATATCAGGAGGAGTTGAGGGAACCAACTGCTTTTGTTATTTCTGACATTTGTTTACACTTCTGTCTGTATGCACATCTAGGTGTGCAGCCTGGCCCACCCCATGTGTGATCTGTACTGGTGCTTTGCTAGCCTTAACAGCCTTGTTTTTCCTAACAAGTGACCTAAATTTCTTTCTGTAGTGTAAGCTCATTACCCATTATCCCACTTACCATGGCAACGGAGAGCAGATTATTCCTTTCCTCTCTGCAACAGCTTTTTATGTATTTGAGAACTTCCCCTCTCCACATCCTTCACCAATTAAGAATAAGCAACCCCATTTCCTTCAACCTTTGGAAGAGGTTGTTTTGCAGCCCTTGCTTTCCTCTGGCGTCTTTTCAATTGCTGTGTTTTTCCTTAGAAGGGCAATGTCCAGACAGTGATGCAGTTAACTCCAGCTGAAGTTTTATCAGCATTGGTGGACTAAGACATTTCTGTTATCTCTTAGGCTCTACTCCAGCATGTGTATCTCCCTACTGTGTTTGCAATAGCATGGTATTAACTCCTGTTCTCCCCCAGTGCTTGTCTGCACTGCTGTGGTGTAACTGAGTGCTCTCATGGCAGCCAGTGTGACAGCTGAGGTTCACATGGAGAAATTGGGAAGCACTTGCTGACTTGATCTGCTACCTGTTCCCTTCAGGGTCCTGTTACTTCAACCACCTCTGCCATGGGTATGAGGGCAGCTGAGCCCAGTGGGAGAGGTTAGCACATTTTTCCCAACACGCATTGACACAGGGCATAGCTCAGGGAGAAATCACTTTTAATGGTAATATCCCTGTTGCTTTCAGCCTCTACAAACACTACTGACTGATCTGTACCAACCCAAAGGCTCGGTGCAAGCCTCCCTCACACAGGCAGACGTGTGCAGAGAGGAGGATGGTTCAAGGCAGCGTGGAGCCCCAGGGAGCTGGGCTCCCTGCCCTGTGCCTAGCAGGGGTCGGGAGCACTGGGCTGTGTCGATGGTCAGTGTGTGCAAGGTGCTGCGAGTGTGCGTGTCACTAGGCATGGCACAAATGTGTGCTGGGGCCCTGAGCTGCATGTGGCACCCCCCACACAGTACATTCTCTTCGTGGTGGAGACCGCATCTGTGCAGCGCCAGCACCAAGGGGCTCTGGGGCTCTCTGGGATGGGGATGGCAGATGATGTTAAGGGAGATTCTGGGTTCAGCTGCCCCCCGGCTCTGCCTGCAGGGAGGCCATAACAAACACTTCTCTACTTTTTCCACCTCTTCCTTGAGACCAGATGCTACCAGGGAGCAGCAGGGCAAGGGCCCTCGGACTCCAGCTGGCTGGTCTGGGCTGCCTGGGTGGTTCAGCCCTGCTGGGGGCACATCCTTTCTCGCCTGGGGATGGGGCTCTGCACAAGTCCTGCAGGGAGGGGAGGCGCGAGCGGGCAGGCAGCGAGCAGGTGCAGACCTGCTGCTGTTGAACATAAGCCTCGTGGCAGGAGACCCCCATGCTGCAGACCTGGAAGACACAAAGGCAGCCTCGTGCAGGTAGCTGGAGCTTGCCCTCACTCACCTGCTGCTGCTCAAGCCTGCAGCACCTTCCCAAGCAGGTTCAGGGATATTGAGGCAGACAAACATTTCTAGCTGTGAAAACATGAGTCAGGGTCTCACTGTCTCCCACACCCCTTCCTGCCTCAAAGATGGTTGGAATCTGCTGCTACATTCCTTGACCCTGCTCCAGCCCCCAACAATGTGTATGCCTAACCACAGCATTTGGCTTTGCTGCTTGAAACTTGAGTTTATGCTATTAATGTTGAGCAACCTCTCATTTGCTGGAATATTGCACTAAGAAGCAGGTTCCTACCTCCAGTCTGCATGGGCCTCCAGCACTGTGCTCTGGCCACGCTGCTGCTCAGGTGATTAATGGGTCAAGATTGGAGCTCTCCTCTGGCAACTTCTCATCCTCCAGCGATGGCCGCTGCTTGCGCCCACCTGCAGCAGCGAGAGGGGCTGGGGTGCTGGGGGCAAAGATGCTCAGGGCAGGGTGACTGGCTCTACCTGAGCTAGCCTTAGATGCAGCGTTACCGGCTGCTGGGGTACTGCCGGGGTACTGCGTTGCCCATCAGCCCCATACAGGGTGTCCCCAGGAGCTCTCCCCTAGTGCTCCCTCCATGGGCGAGTCACTCACTCAGGGATCTCAGCAGCCTCCTGCCCAGCGTCTCCTCATTGCTGCTTGGAGTTGAGCTGGTCTCAGTCTCTCTGCCAGGGGACTCTGGCTCCAGGACAGTGCCGCAGCGCTCACTGTCTGCAAAAGCCCAGTATGGCTGCAGCACCCAAGGGCACCACAGCCCTCGCCACCCCTGTGTGCATGTCCCCTGGCCAGACTCACTCTGATGCTTGCTGTTCTCCTCGTTGTCAGCCGTCTCCTCCTGGATGAAGGGGATGCTCTCCATGCGCAGGAACACTGACTCACTGGGACTGTGCAGTCCTTCAGAGCGGTTGCCTGCAGGGACACAGGGCAAGAATGGCAGCAGGGCAGGGAGATGCTGTGCCTGGGGCAGATGCAGCAGGATGTCAGCCATAGCAGCAGGTCCCACTGCCAGAGACCCCCAGGGAACACAAGCATACAGAGAGGAATTACATGCCTGTACACTTGCACCTATGCCCCAGGCCACGTGCAACTGCGTCTCAGCAGTGGTGTACCCATCATGCCAGCAGATCCCAGCATGGACCTCAGGGGACATGCAGCATTGGCCTATGGCAGGGAAGGGATTCCGCTGGGTGACTCACACATGATGGTGTTCTTCTCGTTCAGAAGGGTGGTGGGATCCTCCTTGGGTGTCTGTGGAGTTCCCCGCAGGGTCGAGGCCTTGGTTGAATCCCTGTCGAAGGCCTCTATGTCAGGGGACTGTGGCGAGCTGTCCATGCGGCTGGCCACCAGTGCGTTGTGATACTGCTGCCGGGTGACCTGCGCAGACAGACATGCACATCCAGCTCAGTGGGTCCACCGAGACCTCCTGGGGACTTGGTGGTACCAAACCCCGAGCCAGCAGGAGTGTGGTATTCCCCAGCACCCACTGGGCACCCATCAGGCTCCCAGGACATAGCAGAACAAGAAGGTGCCTGGGAAGGGGTGCCCAGGGTGCAACAGCCCCTGCCAGCCCAGCCTGTACCTTGACGAACTGCACATCGCAGAGGATGTGCACGGAGTAGTCGGGGGTGTAGATGTTGTTGCTGCTGCTGTGGAGCTGTGTGTTGCTGCCCCCGTAGTCGTTGTGTTCCCAGTTGGGGGACTCGGAGCGGTTGAGCCCGCTGCACCGCGATGGTGACCTGTTCACTGCAGGAGGGAACAGCAGAGAGGCAAACACTCACTTCTCACTCGGTGCTGTGTGGCACAGGGGCAGGGTGGACCTGTCACCTCCTGTGGCTATGCCCCACGGGCACTGGGGCTGCCAGGGGCTCTGTGGGGACCTCTGTTGGGACCCTCCTCAGTGCATGCTGGCAGTGGAGACTCTGCCATGCCAGCCATGCACAAACCAAAGGGGACCGGACAGGCAGGCATGCAACCTGGCACCGGCAGCAGAGGTTAGTGCTGCTGCCTGCCAGTCACACTGACTGACTGACAGCTCCCCTGCTAGCACAGGCCTTCTGCACAGCATTTGGCACAAATTCCAGTTGCAGCTGGCAGCCCTCAGGGGTTTGCTTAACCTGCCTTGAGGGCACACTCCTGTTCACCCCGGCAGAGCAGAGGCTGCCATGGCAAGCTGGCCTGTCGCTCATGTCAACTGATGGCCTCTGACATGGGGTGTGACAGATTTTGTCTGGTCAGTGATTTATTAGGGAACAAAGGCAGCTTGCTCCTGCACAGGTGACATCAACAGCTTGTTGACTTTGCTCTGCTGCTAAAATGTCCTTCTATTACCCAGATTGCTAGAAAGCAAGGGAAGCAGAGCAGTGTGCATGCAGGGCTGTGGGCAGCTGTCATCAGAAGCAGCAAGTAGCAAGAAAACCTAAGCACTGACTGCAGGAAAGTACAGGAGCTGCACACCAAGGAAAACCCAAGCTGTCCATGGCTCCCCACTTGTCCCCATCCCATTCTTCCCGTGGTCCACATCATACTGGGAAGGCTGCCAGTGTGTCTCAACCAGTGAGGGGCTGCCGGTGTGGGGTGCCATGGGTGCTCCTCTCCTTGTGCTGCCCTGCATGCAGGGTGCAGGGGCCTTGGTGCACCATGCTCAGGGAGCCGGAAAGAGCCTGGCACACGCAGACATCCCTGCCCAAAGCCATGCTCTGTTACCTGGAGAGCCAGCCAGTGAGTCCCCTCTGCTGAAGGCGAAGGTACGGGACACTGAGACAGGCACTGCAGGGAGAAGGAAGAGAGGGAGGGAAGGAGGAAGGGATGGACATGAGGTGGCGGACAGATCAAGAGGAAGAATGAGAAAAAGAATCACGTGCCAGCAACCCTGGGGTGGGCTCCCACCACTGCCTCCATCACCCCTTCCCACCCCTCTTACACCCTTCTGCTTCTGCTCCAGGGAGGCGCTTGCCAGCCCTGGGGCCGGGGACACTGGGAGGGACGCAGAGTTGAGTGCCCTAAGTCAATAGGCTGCTCTGTGACAGGAGGTGAGGCTGGGGGGAACCAGCTCTTGCCAGGCCTGTCTGCCCAGCCACACATCTCTCTAGAGCCACAGTGTGGGCAGAAAGCATCTTCCATGGGCTGAGTGCTGGCACCCTGCTCCAGCCCTTCACCACCCGCTGCCAGGACAGAGAACTTTGTGGTCAGCTTGTGTCGCCTGGGGGACGGGCAGAAGCTAAGCCAAGCGGCTGCGCCTTGCATCTGGGATGGTTCCTGTGCAGGCAGGTAGCAGAGAGTGAATGTGCTCTGCCCCACAGCGGCAGGCAGAGGCCGGCAGAAGGCCCTCAGCGCGATGCAAAGGCACCTGTGCCAGGCTGCCTGCAGCTCCCTGCAAGGCCCTGAGGGGTGTCAACAGCCTTGGAGTGGTGCCAAGAGCCACCCCGCAGGGGAACCACAAGAAGCCACGACCCCATGTCCCATTGACACAGAGAGGGCAAATCACAGGCCATTCACTTCCCATGTTTCACTGCCATGGGTTACAGCAGCAGTGACAACTTCAGGGACAGGCATTCCCCCTCCCTGTGACTTGCTGCCTGCCGGGAGCTGCCCTCCACAGCATCCCTGGGCAATGCACTTGTTAACACCTCCCAGTACCACATCTCTGCTCTCACCACTGGCAGCACCCATCTCAAAGGCATCTCCACAGGAAGATTTGAGCCCACCCATCAGCTGCCAGCTCCTTTCTCAAGCCATGGCCATGCTTCCCACAGCTGCTGTCCCTCCTGTCCCAGGTGCATTGCCTTTTTTCCACCCACTGCCCGCAGCACAGCTGCAATGCTCCAGGAACCATCTGCTGCCTATGTGATTAATGTTTCTAAATTGCTTCGAAGGTAAAACCCCTAGGAAATGTGCCTTACAACCCCCTCCTTCCAATCTCCCCACTCAGTTACTCCTCAGTAACTCTTCTTCGTGTCCTCCTCTGAGTCAAAACCTGCTGCAAATAAAAGTCCAAGCAAAGGCACCAGCTTGGAGTGCTCCCCAGAACAACCTCATCCAACTGGAAGCAAAGGACGGGTTGATAACCACTAGCACTCTCCCCCTGCTCTCACTGCCTTACCATCCGGCAGCAATGCCCTGCACCACCAATGCCAAAGATCACCTGCTGATTAAACAGTTGCATAACAATGATTAATTAATAAAGAAGTGTTAAATGCTCCAGGGTTAACATCTGAATTCTCTGCTGCTCATGCTCACTTCTGCCGGGCTTTGCTTCATGGGGGAAGGAGGACAGCGGCCTGAGAAGGGAGATGCCCTGTGACCTGTGCCTACCATGCCTCCTCGCTGGGCAGGGGTGAGACGCAGCACAAATCCCGGGGCAGGCAGGGGTGGCTGAATGGCAGGAAACGCCTCATGAGCCAGGATCATGTGCGAGCACAGGGCGCAAAGGTCCCCTGAGCAGCAGTGTCCCAGCAGGCAGCACTATGGATATGTGTGGCTGCACTGACACTGCTCCCACTGTGGCTTATGCCCTGCCTGACCTGTGGCTTGTGGGCATCACCCACTGCCTGAGCCTCTGAGGAGCCCTGGGGATGGTCACTGAGGGAACCAGGCATTGGAGCATGCAACAACATCCAGGGGGAAATCAGCCCCTTCATTGATTTCCTCTGTTCAAACTGAGCACGCTGCAGATGCACAGGAGCGCAGGAATGAGCACTGAGGGTGAATCCAGCAGTCCAGAGCCAGCCTTTCAAATGGAAGCAAAGCAAGAAACAGGTGAACCCTAGAGCGGCACAACCCTAAAGCCATGGGAATGACAGTCACCTGGCCCTAAGGGACTCCTTGTTCTCTCAACAACATTCATCCCTACACTTCCCTAAAGGTTAAACTTGACGGGTTCTTGTTTTCATTAGGCACCCAGAGCATTCTCATTGTACCATCAGCACTGCACATACAACTGGGGTTGGGAAGAGGGATGTACCTGACCAGGGCTGAGCAACACCTTTAACCAATCACTCCTAAACCACCAGGGATTAATCATCTGCAGGGGTGATCAGCAAAGAAAGGAGGGCACAGTCTCCTCTAATCAGAGCTCCCTCTGCAGGGAAACTGCTCGGTAACCCATCAGCTCTGCAGGCAAAGAATTTACCTGGATGGGGGCATTTACTTTTAACTCAGCTGATTTCTCCCACCAACATGTGCAAATGGCTCACAGGTTCATCTCTGCAGTTCCCAAGCAGCCCTCATTCCCTTCGTGTGGGACGCATGTTCAGCTCATCCTCTGAGCCTCAGGAATGCAAATGGGTCCAGAGGTGTTACACTGAGACCCAGATGCACTGTGCCAGAATTCACAGGGTTTACTGCTCCCATCTGCATCATCATGCTGCCACCCGTGGGCAGTGCCCCTTGTAGTACCAGCCTGCTGGGATCCACCTGAAGGGATCCAGCACTTAGCTGAGACTTCAAAGGGACCTCAATGTCCTTTCTGCAGGCTGCATCAGCCCTTCAGGTCTTTCTCCACTGAGCTTTTTAAAGGGGTGATCTCAGTGCAGAGCCTGAGCTGCTCTGCACAGGGTGCAAACCCATCCCTCCTTCAGGCAGCCTGTGCTCCAGCCTGCCCCAAAAAACTTACATAGGAAGGAGGATCCAGCCAGGCTGCCCACTTTTCGCACATCGTTATCTGAAATGAGAGCTGGAGATGTAGGAATCACAGAGGAAGGACTCCCGCCTGCCCCACACCCTGCAGCAGGGCCACCCCACCCCACAGCCAGCCCCAGCTTAGCCCCCATGGAGGCTGCTGAAGCAAAAGCAGGGCTGGAGGGAACTCACAGAGCCCTTACCTGAGGAGACAACAGCCATGATGGCAGGGACGCCATAGTATGTGAATGCCCCATTCTCAAACCTCAGCCCTTCCTTGCCAATCTCCACCTCCACTTTCCCCTGTAAGGAGAAGGAAAACCCACTCAGACAGGAACCTTGCGCTCCCAGCCACCAACCCACCCAGGGCAGCAGGGACCCCGCTGCCCTGTATGAGAAGAAGGGCATCTCCACTGGCAGAAGCAGCCCAGAGCAAGGTGGTGAGGAGAGGCAGGCCACTCCCTGCCATGCTCTACTCGCTGCTGCCCCAGGCACCTGCAGGATGAGGACAAAGTAGTCAACAGGGCGGTTGCGCTGGTAAAGGTAATGCTCCGCCGCCTTCTTGTTCTTGCGGTCGTACTTGAGCTCCTGGATGACGTTGGGGTGCTTGAGGAGCCGGAGCAGGATCTTCTCAGAGAGGTAGGGGGACTTGAAAGGCTCCACTTCTAGAGGGGAGGCAACACACACTTGCTCAGCAGGGATGGGGCTGCCAAGAGCCCCTTATCCTCTAAGCTTCATGGTCGCTCTTCCTGCAGCCTCAGCACCCTGCTGCATGGAGGGGACCTCAACCAGACCCATGCTGGTGGGGCAGTGGGATGCCCTGGGTCCAGCAGGCAGAAACTGCTCACTGAGCAGAGGGGCCTGACCCAAGAATGGTTCAGGGATGCATGCAGGGCTGGTGCTGCAGCAGGGAGATGCAGGGCTTGCACAAGGGCAAGGGTACCTGTTGCCATGAACCGATGGGTGGCCAAGAGGAGCTGCGGGGAGATCTTCACCTTCATCTCGCTGTCTGAGAGCCTGAAGATGGAGAAGTCCTGGGGCTTGCGACCCCGGTGGGGCACACGTTCCTTCTTCCGATTGTTCGCTGCAGGGCAGAGAGCAAAGCAGTTGCCTGCCTGCAGCTGCAGGGCCCATACCACATGCACATGAATACAGAGAGGCACATCTTGCTGCACCCCATGGCAGGGCTGCTGTGGAGGAGCAGCGGGGCACACAAAATATGCCATGCATCCCAGCCTTGGCAGCAGCTCCCTGGGGAGGGAGCAGGGTGGTGAAACACACTTCTTTCTCAGGAACAAGTCCTGGGTTGCCCTGGCTGGATGTGTCACTCAAAATTAGAAGGAGCTTGGGAACCACCCATGAGCACTTTATGCCCAATACACATGCCCCCAATAAGGCCCTGCCCAGCCATCCGCTGCTGGTGCTGCTGCTTTTCTATCTTCAGCATTCAAGACTCCCCGACATCTGACCAGCATCAGTCCGTCATTCTTGTCTTTCCCACCATGACTGTTAATTGCTTTGGGGAAGGACCACAATTTGCTCTGGCCTGTTTCCTACCCACATGTCTGTCTGTCTGTGCGGGCTCCCACCCTGGCTCCTGCAACCGCAGTAGCTGCTCTGGGACACTAACTGTACAGATCCGTCTCATCCAGGATCTCGGACTTGATGATCTCCTCAATGACATCTTCCAGGGTGACAATGCCCATCACCTCGTAGAATGGGTCTCCTTCCCCTTCGTTGTTCACCCTCTGCACGATGGCCAGGTGGGACTTTCCTGTGTGGGGAAAAGCAGAGCAGCAGTGAGCCCCCAGCCCTGGTGAGAGGGGTCTCAGCATGGCAGGCTGGCAGGAGGGCAGGGCTTGGTGAGAGGCACAGGTCACAGCCAAACCTCAGAAGCACCCAAAGCCATCCCAACCGTGCTAACCCAAGGAGAAGGGCTGGACACACAGCCCAGCCTAACAGGGCTACTACACCCCAGGCTGACTCCCAGGTGTCACAGGGTTCTGACTGGCTCATTTTTGGGGCCACTTGCTTTCTTTCAGAATGGTTAGGGGTCTGGAGCATCTCTCTTATGAAGAAAGACTGTGGGAGGTGGGCTTTTTTAGTCTAGAGAAGGCTGAAAGGCGATCTCATTAATGAATATAAATATCTCAAAGGCAGGTACCAGGAGGATGGTGCCAGACTGTTTCAGTGGTGCCCAGCAGCAGGATTAGGACCAAAGGCCATAAACTAAAACACAGGAAGTTTCACCTCAACATAAAGAACTTTATGCTGAAGGTGGCAGAGCAATGAACAGGCTGCCCAAGGGTGTTGTGGAATCTCCCTCTCTGGAGATATTCAAAACCTACTTGGACACGTTCCTGTGTAACCTGCTCTAGGTGGCCCTGCCTGGGAGAGGGGTTGGACTGGGTGATCTCCAGAGGTCCCTTCCAGTCCTAAAGATTCTGTGATTCTTTACCCAGGCACCTCACTGCAAGTCACTCTGTTTAGCTCTTTGACAGCCTCCTGTGCAGGGATGATGTGTATGTTATACCAGCTGCTTCTTGCTTACCCTCGGTTTCATTGCCATGAACAACTAACAGAGCAATGAGACGGCATCCTCCAACACAGAAATGTGAACATGTCCTTGGGCTCTGCTGGTTTCCCTCATCCTCCTGGTGTTTTCTCATTCTGTTGTTAATTATCCTTCCTATTAAATTGCCAAGAACAGCCTCCCGCCATCTTTCTATCCATCAATGTCTGGACCAGTCCTAAAGCTTTGCTTAAAACACAGGCAAAGCCTCCAGCTCCTTGGAACAGCAGCTGGTTTTAATGCAGAAATACGTATGTTTGTTTGCAGCTTTCAGCCCAGCTCCCGCAGAACTCTTGGGTGAACCATCTGGATGCAGAGGCTTTCCAAGCCGTCAGCTTGCACTTGAATGTCTTCTCCAAACACTGCCCTTGACAGCACCCCCTCTCTATTGCCTTAAACAAGCAAACTGGGACCAGGACCTTCAGCTGCAGTGACAGTGACTCCTGTTTGGAAGTCAGTGTTTCTCAATCACGTTTTCAGCTTCCTCACTTGTCCCCAGTAAACTGGCAGCTCTGCTGACACATTCTCACACTTCTTGCTTTTGGCATATTTGAAATATTGCTATTTGTTTTCACATGTCCAACTCTGTAAGCTGTTTTGACTTCTTCAACTTCTCCCTTCCTTTATTGTCTGCTCTGATTTATGTTCCTGCTCAGCAGCTTGACCAGAACCCAAATCCCAAGCCACAAACAACTTTTGGGTTTCTATCTGCTAATTAACAGCACTGGTTTTCTTACTGCCCCCATGGCACAGGGATCTGAACCTCTAGTTTTATTTAAAACATTAAAAATGTCCTTCATCAGCACCACAGCCAACAACTTCTGCTCCCTCTGTTTGCTCTGCATCCCTAGGGTCTCCTGTCACAATGCCTGCACAAACCCAGCTGTACCATGGGCACTGCAGGCACCTCCAGAAAGATGCAAACATGTTTTTCCCCATGGGCTTGGAGCTGAGCTCCTTGAACAGCAATGGTCACCCAAAAAAGGGAGCAGGTCCCTTCTGCTATACAGCTGTCTGCATCTGCTTCTCCCAAAAACCCTCCCTGACAAACTCGCCTGCTGCTCGGGGCAATGGGATGTTAACAGTATTTATGCACAGAGATGCAACAGGGGTGGGCTCCTGCCTGCTGCACAGCTCCCTCCTCGCCCGCTGGTGCCTTCTGCCTCATCCCTGCAGAGGGAAAGGGATGAGCACATCCAGAGCAGCCTGGCAGCCCCGTCAAACACAAACTGCAGGGGAACATGTGACCTTCAAATAACCTTGTCCTGGATCCGAGACGAGCAAGTGACATTTCTCAGCTGAAGATCAGCACTATACATTTCTCACAGCAAAGCTTGGGCATTTTCCACAGTATAAATTCCCTCCTCCTCATACCAAGCTTTTATTGCAAGATTTTAGAGCAGCTCGCTGCCTCCCACGCCTACAGAATTAGAAATGAGAACATAACATCATAGCAAGTAGCACTGGGATGCACTTAAAAAAGACCCCAAATCAATAGCTTTGGGGCACTGGAAATTCAGCATGTTCTTTTGACCGTGTTATTTCACTCCTTTCATACCCAGGTTTGTGCTTCTCATCTGTTTAGGGGTAATAAAGCAACGTGACTTCAGACTTAAAAAGAAGAAAGCGGCAGAGTTGGCTGCAGGACAGCAGCAACAGCTACATTTCATCTTAGCAAAGTCCAACTTTTGAACGTGTCTCCTTTGCCAAACCCTACTCCCAAACACTGGGGCCATCTGGTCTCCTCCAAGTCCTCGGGTGAGCGAAGGGAGAAGTTATTTCTTTTGGCCAAAAGCTTGCTGTTAATAACATTTACATGCAACCCAAAACCACTGAGCCCTTACAAAAAGCTTAGGTGCTACTTAAAGGCACTCAGAGTAATGGACACAATTCTTTTTCTGGCCAAACACCTACATCAACGCTGTAATTTACTCTACAGCAGCCTCAGAGAAATATGATTCCAGCTCCACATTCACGTAGCAGCAAATGAGATTATATAGAAGTAACCCAGCACTGTTAGCCTGGGAGGAGACCCAGAATTTCACTGTGCTGGGGGCAGAGCCAGGAGGGCTGTTAGACTGCTCAAGAGTTCTTTATTTTTCACAGAAAATAAACACTTGTCACCGTGCCATAAACCCCCAGGTTTAGGTTTCCAGGCTAACATTAGACCCACATTAGAGATGGGGCAGGTACAAAGCAATGGTTGCAATTCATGTGGTTGTTCCTGGCCCACACCAAACAAACTGATCCTAGCTCCTGCCTGGCTGGCTGACACCCATAATCACAAGAAGCCCTGGACCTCAGTCCCAGCCCTTGCAAACCACTGCTCCCACTGGGAAAAGGCTGACTTGCCCTGATTTCCCGCCTGAGGCACATGAGATCTTTGGCAAAGTCCTGTCCCCTGACCTGGCTGGGTCCTGCATTTCCCCCCTGTAGATTCGGCAGCAGGGATGGGGGGGTTGTCGGCTCCCTGGCCGTATGATCATGGCTTGCTCCCTTCTGGGCTGGGGATGCTGCCAAGCTCAGCTGCATCTCCCTGCCTGGACCTGGGAGCTGCTACACTTGCACAGGAGAAAAGCAGCAGCTTTTGGAGGTGCCAGAGTGGTCTCTCTCTTCGGCAGCCATTACCTTGCAGGTCTGCCTCGGTGGGAGTACAAGAGAGGGAGATAAATCATTTAAACAAAACCCCAAACTTGATCTAAGCCAGCTTCAAGATCTGTAAAACTGGTTCCAAAAACTGTGCTATTGTAACCATTGCTTGACAGCTCAAACGAAATGAATTACAAGGGTGAGCTGCTTCCTCACTAGCAAGCTGTCACACGTGAATTTTACAGGGTTATTGCTGATGCAGGAAAGCACAGTGAAACACTTGAGAATCAAAGCCTTGGTTTGGCAAATGCTAGAACAAATGGGCAATTAACTTCATTTGTTCGAATGGCTCCATCGGCCTCGGCAGGGCTGCTCTGACACAGGAAGTCTATAGGTGATTAAGTGTCTGCTCAGCATGGGATACAACTGTACTAAATTCTTTATGAGCTACATGAAATCTGCTCTTTTCAAACAGCAATTTGGGTGGAAAGTTAATGCCAAATTAGAGAGCTAATATAAACAGCTGAGAGCTTCTGGACGGAGCAAGCATTTGAACAGATACCTAAAGCTTTCATGCCCGTTTTAGGAGCCTTTGTATTTCATAGGTGCCTAAATGACCTTGGGCTCAAAGCGTCCTCCCCAGTGGGAGAACAGGGTCTGAACACACGGAAATGCCTTTACTCGTGGGAAAGAAAGTGCTGCAAATATAGCCCAGACTACTTCCTTACATCTTTTTTTTTGTGTAGGTGCTCTGCCAGAGGAATGTTAAAGATGCTTTAGCCTTGTCTCTCATTCCACGGGATAAGCATGAAATTTACTTTCATAAATTTTACAGTAAGATCTAAAGCTGTTACTGAGAGATCAAAGGTACAGGCACAAGCCACGAACCATGTACAGCTACAAAATGGAAGGCAAAACCCCCAGAGTAATTGGTAACTAAGGTTGATTTATGAAAGAGCCATGATGTAACTGAAATCTGTTTTCTGTGTGCTTTCAGTCAGAGCTCTTCTGTGGGTGAGGGGCTCCCAGCATCTCCATGCCCCATTGCAGACCTGAATCTGAAGCAAGTGGGGACCCCGATTTGAACTGGAAATGTGCATGTGAGTGGTACCACGTGTGCTCTTGTGTTACCACAACCCCACAACAAGGGTAAAACCACATGCCTGAGGAGTCGCACCTAAAGACAATCCACATTTACACCTAAATAGGGAGGAAATAACCAAGAAGGCTGTAGGAGCACCCAATTCTATGAGAATCAGAGCTATGCAAATTAAAATCTGTAAATTCTAATCTAATCCAATCCAGACCTTCCTCAGAGATAAGAACTTCATCTGCCTACATCTGGCTTTAGCAGGGTATAAAAGCCTTTTCGTACTTGGCTTTGGTGCTTTTCTTAATCCTAAGGAAAACTGTGGGAAAGACGGAATACTTGGAAAAGCTGATGTACTACCATTGACAAAACAGATCAGGAGGATAAGGGTGAGGTTAGAGGGAACAGAGTCTCATCTTCCATCTGCTGTACAACAGGGTTCTCACCTCTTGGGGATGACCCTGCAAGCTCACAAATGGTGGGTCCCCTTGCATGTTATGTGGAGCCTAAGGAAGCCTACAAG